ACAGCCAGTTTTAGAGCAGGTCGCCTGTCGTAAATTGTTCACCGTGCAAGATATTGCATGGAGTGATGCCTTTCCTACAAATGACATTGAATCTGACCTTACTTTGGTAGCGATAGAGGGGGCAGGGAGAGTGAGTACAAGTTTTAAGGGTAAAAACAAAGCGTTTCTCTCATATGCCTAAGCAAATGCCTACTGTACAGTGACCACAGTGGCTTAAACTTTTCCATGAGAAAAGAAACGGATTTCAGACGCTGGCAATGGCTGTAGTTCTTGAAGTCCCAATATAGTTTGGTAAATTAAACTCAGTTATACTTGCTCCTTTCGTATGCCAACTAGTGTCAATCAAGTGCAAAACCATGTATAGCAATCACCAAATATTGCCGCTCTGCATATTGTTGACGCCATGATGTGAAGCTTCATGATTGGTTTTTAAAAGCTCGTTGAAGCAAGGGCAAATGGTATGTTTCCGCGGAAAATGCTAAAATTGATGACTAATGCATTGGCACGATAACATTGAGCAACACGAATTAAATAAGGGTCTATCAGTACACTACTTTGACAGTGTTGCTGTATGAACACATTGCAAATGTTGACTCTGCAAACGACGGATGTCGGTAACCTTCAGGTTTCTACATGTGGAGGAGGTAAGCCAGAGACGAGTTTCCTGCGTAGTGATGACTTGACCCTCTACTAGATTGCCCTCTATTGCTGAGTTAATCTGCCATTACAGCAACACTCGATTTTGCTGCGCGGCGAGGCTATCACCAGGGGTTCTTGCTCACAGTGCTATCGCAGTGATTGCGAAGACTCTCCGTCCACAGTTCCAACTCTTTTCACTCCATAATAAGAAGATGAAGATAATTGTACGTACGTACATTGACATCACCATCGCGAGTTGCTTGCGTAAGCAGAACACGACATCCGCTGCATTTGCAGCTTTTCAACGCTTTGGTTGTGAGGCACCGGCACAGAAAATATTCCTCACCGGAAGCAGATTTGCCTCTACTTTGTTCCTCGGTGTTGCAAGTTTGGCTTCTGGTCAAGGCTTAGCGTTTTTCTGGCTCCAGGGGCAGTGTTAAACGCCATCTTTCAGTGATGAACATGGATCCACCGCTCCCGGTGTATGGCAGCAACGGCTATGCGCAGAGGTCTAATTCTGATATCCAGGTGATGGAACGGATTTACCGAACATATAATGCGACGATTTCTATATCGAACTTTCTTGATTCGTCCGGGCTAACGATGCGGTCACTCCTTTGTCGCTCACCGGGATTGCTGTGTATCATAAATTGTGTAGATAGTGGCCAGTGCTGGCGTGGGTTGTGGGAATCCTGTTCAGAGTCACACGTTGCTTACGGGCTAAGTGCAGAACTACTCTGGTAGTGTTTTTGACGGATCATAATCAATAGAGTATTTGCTTCACACGTTGGAGTTCTGGTAGAACTGTATCCACTCATCACTGGCATGAACGAATGATCATGGACAGCTTGTTAGAACAGTTTCTGCTATTTCTGTCTTGCCGTAGGACCGTTCTTGAGTTCTTGATGAGCAGGTAGGTTTAGCTCATCCTGAATTTTGCGATAGTCACTTAAGCTACTTTCTCGTGCAAGGTGCAGTATGCTAAAGAGTACCGGTATCCAGGGAAGTGGAGTACTGTGGAATGTTCCCTATGGTGTTAAGGAATGGCATTAAGGTTGCCTGTATGACTGTTTTGTAGCCACACCGCAGCGCAGCACCTTCTGTAGGACATACGACGGCAAAGGCTGCTGTTCGCGGGATGTCGGTGATAGACTCCCAGCTTAGTTGCTACGCTAGGGTCGGCACTGCAGCCCTCTCATACTCATTTAGGAACAGTTCAGTCTCAGACA